AGTGAAAAGAGGTTTCTCTTCCCAGCCCGTTTACCTGGATCTTAGGACAGTTTTTACAGCATATCCAGTTAGGAACTTCATCAGCTACTACAGACACTAGTTCCCCTCCTCATCTGCATTATGTTTTTGAAATCCCATTCTCAATATCACCTCTGATATTTTTCTTGTCCAGATAAAGAACCTGTGTACTTCTGAGTCAAAATTTTCAACACAGCATTTCACAGTCTCCAGTTTAACAATAGACATATATATATCTGGTACATTAGTTCCAGTCCCTTTCCCATGAATATCTGCAAATGCAAAAATAAAGATCTGTCAAAAATAATCCTCTAAGGATCACTGTAAACACCCCCCCACTCCACCAGATGGTGTCCTTTCACTTAAATAAGAAAGAATATTTTCAGTAGCACAGATCTTGTCTTGCTTGATATGAGCACTGGCCTCTGGGGCTGTAATATATACACTTCAAAGCTATAAATGGCAAATTATGAGTGTGATGGCTCCCATTCTGCTTCCAAAATACCATGGTGGGGCAGCAATCAATCTTCTTAATACAGGGTAAAAGTTTGTGTCAGAATCAGCAGTATCATTTTGGATCCTGCAAGATATATATATATAATATAATTAGTACAGGTACTGCTGGCCAAGAAATTGTTAGATATTTACCTCAGGAATAATCCAGTTTTCCTTTATTTTTGTTTTGTGCTAAGGCTGCAACAGGGTCCCATATAAAGCTCTTCTCAAAATCATGCATGCTTGTTCTAACAGGTGGAGAAAGAAGCAAAAAAAAAATTAAGGTCTAAGCATAGATAGTGTATTTTTCCTGAAAGAAAAGATCCATCAGTTACCAGTACAAAATGAAACCACATTATTTGGTTGTACTAAACATTTTCTGGTTTATTCTGGAAACAAAATATCAAAAGGTAAAAAAACCACGCAAGGATAAATAAAACCACAGCTGTCATTGGTAGAGTATGAAAAGCTTCCAGATGAGTCAGTTTGAAATTTTCTGTGTGTTTTCAACACATGCACTTCAAATAAAGTGTTTGCTTGAAATCTTGCAGGAAGGAGCTTGTTTTTCAGCGTGGATGTAGCTGTTACAGAGATATCCGCTATTGGTTTAGGGGAAGCAAGTGAACCAGATCTATATAAATCATATGGGGTAGGGTCACTGACTCCCGAGGCAGAAGTGAGGATGTGGATGGCTCTGTGTGTGGCAATGTACTTTTTTGGAACAAGTAAGGAACCAGTAGAGCCTTAATATCTGTTCTGATGCTGGGAGAATGTGGCTTACTTGTTTTACTGTGTTTTCATTTTGTTCTGTTTTACAGGAGCCGAAATCACCCAAACCCCAAGTCTTGTGGTGAGAGAAGATGAGAATGCTACCCTGAAATGCAGTCAAAATGATAATCACAATTCTATGTACTGGTATCTGCAGCAGCCAGGGAAGGCCATGCAATTGATTTATTATTCCTATGGTACAACTCTAAAGGAAGAGGGTGACATTAAGGCTGGATTCCAAGCTAACCGGCCAAACCTTGCAGAATTCTATTTGGATATTTTGTCTGTGAAGTTGAACCACTCAGCCCTCTATTTCTGTGCCAGTAGTTTGGACACAACACTTCAAAGTTGCTTGCTTTCTTTACATAAACCTCTCCCCTTTCAGCACCTTCCGTCCGAAGGGAGCCACTCTCAGCACAGGAAAGGGGGTGTAGGGAAATCATCTACTCACAAACCAGATGTTACTGAGAAGGTGGAACAAGAGTAGGTAGAAATAAGACATAGGCAAAATAGGTATTTGAAGTGCAGGCTAATTGCTGAACTCCTCTTTCTTGATCAGTCATTTATCCTCCACCTTATCAGATCAATAAAGATGGTTAACCAAATACAGATGTAAAACGAAGGAAATGTAAATTGTAGTTGAAACAACCACAAGTTATTGTCCATTAAGACATTTTCATACCTGACACAGAACAGTTGCCTGACATACATAAGTCTGAAATACTTTAGAGATAGTGACTTCTGTGTGCACTTTCATTCCTTCCTGAACCACAATGTTTTTCACTGTGCTTGGAAAAGTTACCCTAATCACAAGAAAACTGTAGAATTACTATTTCCAATGGTGATGAAAAGGAGTCTGAACAAAAGATGATGAAGGAATAGAATCTATACAGAACTAATATACAACAGACTAGATTAAAATTACAAAAGAGGAGTCATTACTATGGCTTGCAAGTGCATAGACTTGCAATGTGCAAAATCCTGAAAAGCTGTATGTATATGGAGGGTATAAAGTGGGAAGGCAGGTAATCAAAGTATTCCAATTGGAATGAATTCACATTCAAGAAAAAATAACATGTAGATTTTCATTTATTCAGAAATTGTTCTGACTATGGAGCTTACTTCTGGCTGCATAGTGAATCCCATACCACTGTGTGTGTCCCATCTATCTCTTTATATCTCTGTCTCACAACTGAATAAGCAGCAATATTCAGTATTAATCTGGTTGATTCCTTCTCTCTGTGGCTGAGTTCTGAGGGTGTTTTTTATCCAAGGCAACTTTGTGATGTTTCTCAAGGCCTTATAGATCTTTCTGAGCGTGAGCAAGGTCCTGATAGGAACACTGCTTCACAGAGCATCCGTATTTTGAAGACAAAAAAATAGAGAGGGATGAAAAAACAGGATGTGAATGTAAATTTATATACTGCATAACCTCTCCCTGACAGGATATTTCTGGTTTGCCATGAAGACTCTTTCGTGCCACACAAAAAGACTTACTAGTGTTCTTCCATCACCACCATTCTCTCAGACAGTGTAATTGATGCAGTGGGATTAGTCATAGCCTGAGATACTCTTTGGTGTAAGCCTTTCATGGTGATAATGTAACAAATTGTCTTAAATTGTTCTAAAACAAACAAACAAAAGCACTAAGCAAGGTTCTTGTGATGTATAAAAGGCACCTGCAAAATTTGCTAGTTCTGAAATAAAGAATAATAGTAATAATTATAATAATAATGTGTTTCCAGTTTTGGAAAGGTTTAAATAAAGGATGTAGAATGGGAAGATTCCATAATTAGACACAGCATGCACACTGTGATATTATTTTTATCCCAGTCTGAACTATGTTAGATTATATTTAAATGTTGTAGGGCAAAGGACTATTACCATGCATGCCGGATAACCATACTGATCTTCAAAGGAAATTTTCAACTTGTGATTATTGTGCAGAGTTTCTTCATTGGGATGGGAATTATTGGACTACAGGCACATCCCTGGAGAATAGGCAAAAGAACTTTTATGTGAATCCTTTAAATATCAACTGACTGGCTAGGAGAACCACCTTGCAGAACAGTAATTAAACATGAATAGGCAGCAAGCCCTTTCAGCAATGAGAGCTAGTTGCATTTTTGGTTGCATTAGCAAGGGTGCAGTTAACATGTTGCAACACAGTCACTAAGACGATCAAGGGACTGGGGCAGAAAATAAGAGAAGGAATTGATTTTGTTCATCATGGAGAGAAGAAGACTAAAAGATTAGTAATTGCATGACTCCAAATGCCTAACCAGAGTTGTAGTCTTAGAGGGCCACAGTGGAATCAAGTGGGAACAAGCTGCAGCAAGATAAACTCTGATTAGGCATATTAAAAAGTACTTTCTGTTAATGATGTTCCACACTGGAAAATGTTTCTTGGACAATTTGTCAAATCTCTGTCCTTGAAGATATTCAGAAATCGCCTGGACAAAGCTCTGAGCAACATTGAGTTAGCCCTGTTTTGAACAGGAATTTGTATTGAGACACTTACAGAAGTCCCCTCCCATCAATTTTTCTACAAGTGTATGATCTTTGTTATATTGATTTGCTGATTTGAGATGTGTAGAAAAAGCATTAGAGGTTTTTTATTCTGTAAAAGCAGGTCAGCAACTCCTCCAAAACCACAAATCTTTTTTTTTGTTTTTGTATGTTGCACAAGAGAAAGAGCAGCTGCACATGCAGGACCCATCTGCCAACTTGAGCAAAAAGAAGATTGTGTGATAACTGGAGGCAAAAAACCCAACAGCTTTCATGAGACCGTTTATGTGTCACTTTTTCTGCCCAGCTGTAAAATGGTGAACAGAAAGCCACATCCTGTATATTGTCCTGAGAAGCTGGGGTGCTGTTGTGCTAAGAGAGGCTGTTATGTTATCAAAATGGTTTTCTGAGTAAATGTCAAACCGCATCCTGTTTTGGTAAAATTTAACTGCTGTTCCCTTAAAGAGATATTTTCCAGCACATTTTGGCACATCACTTGCTCTCATTCTGAGGTACAATTTTCTTCTGAGGCCTTGAGAGACAGTTTCCTCTGCTGTTGACTCTCCGTTAGACAGAAAGTCCCTTTAGGACCTCTGCTCTAAGCCTCCTACTTCTTCTGCCTGGCTAGTACATTGTGAGGTCTTCAGCTTCGAAAGCTTGACAAGTGCTCCTCTATCTTAGACTGCATAACTCATACATACAGTCCTGTGTGAGCTTCCACTGAACTACCAATGGTTTTACTTGTGGTGTGAGAAAATAATGAGGTGCAAAGTGGATGAAAGAGCTCCAGAAAGTCTCTCCACACTTACTAATCCCTTGGATTTTTAATCTATGAAGTACAGAAAAGGTCACAACAAACACAGTTTTACAGAAACACATTCTGGTTCCCTTTGCTTCTCGTCCACTACAGGTTGGATTCTTTTGACTATCTCTCAATTGTACTCATTTGCCCTGATTCTGAGTTTAATGTTTATTTATTTTCATCCGTGGTTTGATTTTCTTAGTATTTATTTTCTTACTCTTCCTAATTTTCTTTTACTCCTTTCTTTAAACAGTCTACACAAGTTTATCATGCTAAATCTATTGCCCAGTGCACCTGGCATTCTCTCCTACTTTTTGCCTAAAATTCTCACTTTCATTATCACTAGCTGGTTCTCTTGAAAATTGTAAGAGACACAGTGTAATTGTAGAGAAGTGGACTTACATAAATATCACCCTGAAGACATCACTTTCTCCAAAGTGGTCTCCTGTGTGGCTAGAAGGAGTGATAACAAATGAGTGCAGAGCAGAATTCTGCTTCTCTCCTTGGACCTAAGCATCAACCCCATCACAAATATCCTCTGTAGAAAACACTCTTGAAAAAGAGCTTGATGGACAAAAGCTTTCCTTGAAACATACTTCAATTCAGTAGAAAGAAAAGAAAAAGGTGATATTATATGAGCCCAGATATGTACGTGTCTCTCTTTTAAAGTGCTCTCTCTGCACAATCACCTGTATAATAGCAGAAGTGTGTGGGAATGAGAATTTCATGGCTTGTAGCAAGCTTGGAAAAGAACAGGATTGGATTGCTGACCTTGGTCTCCATTTCCAGCGACTGACAGATATGAATTCAGTGTGGGAACATTCTTCTTATTCCAGAGTCTAAAGGGAAGTCTCTGTCATTTGGCAAATTCTTTTCTTACACAGAATCTCTTAGTTATGTCCCTCCTTTACACCATAGCTCATGTGCTCCAAAAATTCCTATGCCCAAGTTTGTCCTGTGTTCACTTTGAGCAAGTTCTGCCATGACCATTCTGAAAGTCTGTGTGTGTGAGGACAAGATTGATCTGGGGATTCTTCTGACAGCCCTGATAAATGCAGTCATTTTCACCAAATGTCCTAATAAATTATATTCATCTTAATGTGTTTCAGGCTGAGCTGGAATTATTTTTTGATACTCCATTCTGCTGTGCTCCAACCTAATCTAACTTCATAGGGCATGAATAATGGGGTATCTTGGGAAAAGAACCCATCATCAGAATCAAAAGATGTCTCTGTTTGCTTATCTTTGTTGTATCCCCTGAAATGTGCCCCTTTTTACAACCTTCTTGCGATTCCAACTTGCTGAGAACTGTTCCTTTCCTTTCTTCTCCAAAGGGGACACCTTTCCCTAGACCAGGTAGTTCACATCTTGTGAATGTAAGACCCCTTGAAGCACTTTTGTGAAAAGTTTTTTTCAGGAAACAGTTCTCTGTTTTGTTTGAAGCAGCCATGAGACTACTTAAGTTATTTCTGTTCTCCATATAAACAGAACACCAAATAAATCTCTTGGTTCAGTAGGATATTTTCTCCTCTTCTGAAGTGTTTTGAGGAGATTAAAGGAGTGTCAAACACAGAGCAGGCAAAACAACTGCAATTTACAGCATTATACCCATCTGCCCTCTGGCAGTAAGATGCAGCTTTTTTCTTTAATGATATGAAAAGAGTTATGACAGATTCCTCTCAAGTCTGTCAGCAGATCCCTTTGAAACAAACACATTAAGTGTCAGGTGAATTTTCATCTCTTCACCAAATTTTTCTTCACTGCCACAGTGAGTCTGGTGTCTTCACCAAGCTAATCTCACAAAAGAACCAAGAGAGAGAAAAAGCAGCTCCCATACCTCTCCCAAGAGAATCTCACTTCTCATCTGGCTGGAGTGCTGTTTCCTTCTCTAGCACCTTTGAATTATGCAGCTCTTCTGGCTCCAAAGCAGCCCCTGGGGAAGGCAAGCCTCCAAAGCCCACAGCCCTGCTCCACTTTTTGGTACACAGTGTGAGTAGTGGATGAGTCTCTGCTGTTCCCCTAACAGATAAGTTATTTCTACAGGGATTGCCAGTGAATGATCTTTAATGAGAGTTGCTTATGGCACTATTCATCATTGAAAGTTGTGTGGCAGGACACTATTACTACAGAAGACCAAATTTAAAAGCAACAACTCAGGCTTTTCAAGGGAAAAGAAGCAAAATCTTTATTCCTAAATCAAAGAGATGAGTTCCCAGCCTCTGAGCATCAAGAAGGTGCTACTTTTAAAGATATGTTACAAGAAAATATGATACATTATGATATGGACGCACAGGGAAATCTCAGCAGTGATTACAAAATAGTGAAGAACAGGATGGTAACAGACAATTACAAAAAAATTATATTCAGAAGTTCGTAGAAGATTAGATATTTTGCTATGGAAAGGTAGCAAACTTGTCATGTTCCTGCTGATGTGATGACAAGGGCTCTTCATTTATTCTCTAGATAACTTGACACCAGTCTAATTGAAAACAAAATGGGATAAAATTAGAAGAACTGTAAAACAGCAGAGAAGATAACAACATACATCAACCAACGGAAACAAATAGAGACATTAGCTGCATGACCTTGCCCAAAGAGTTACCATCCATGGCTGAGTGTTCAAGTGGCAGTCAGTCACAGTTTCCCTCAGGGGTCTGTACAGGCGCCAAAAGCATTTTTTCAACTTTCATCAGTGTCTCATTGACACGGGGAGCAAGTGCACCCTCAGCATGTTCACGGCTGACAGGGAGCTGTGTGGCCCTTGGTGTGTTTGAGGGAAGGGATGCCGACCACGGGGTCCTGGGCAGACTCAGAGAGTGGGCCCATGTGAGCCCCCACCAATCCCACCTGCAGTTCTGTGTCCAGCTCTGGAGGCCCCAGCACAGGGAACTCATGGCTATGACAGAGCAGGTCCCGAGGAGGCCCACAAAAGCCAGTCACAGGGGCTCAGGGTATGGAGACAGGCTGAGAGAACAACCCCTCTGGAGACTGGAGAAGAAAAGCCTCTGGACAGGCCTGACTGGGGCCTTCCCAGATACAGCAGTGGGGGACTTTTATGAAAAACAGAGATGTTTTGCCAAGGCCTGCAGTGACGGGATGAAGAGGCCTGGATTTAAACTGATACAGGGTAGCTTCAGATTAAAAGAAGACATTTGTTCTGCTGAGGGTGCTGAGACAGTGGAACAGGTTTCCCAGAGAAGCTGTGGACGTCCCACCCCTGGAAGTGTTTGAGGCCTGGTTGCATGGGGCTTTGAGGATGAAGGATATCCCTGCCCATTTCAGAGTGGGGAGGGAAGCAGATAATCTCTAAATGTTCTTTCTAGCACAAACCATTCTGTGATTCTAAGGATTATGATCCAGAAATGGACAAATCTACCCCCTCCAGTATATCCTTGCAAAAGGAACAAAAAAAGTATAACTGAGATGATTGGCCTCCTTGCCCTCAACTCTACCAGGTCGTGTTTCAAATAAATCTTCCTATTCTGCTTTTAAAGGGTCAAGTGCAGAGACTTCTGCTGCTCTCACTGCATGGATGTTTCTGCCGTAGGAAAAACTTACTAATAAAAAATATTTCCTGGTAGTTTGTTTAATTTAACCAATTCGTTCAGACTGATTCTACTGTTCTTTATAAATCTTTGTAAATATTTGACCACATTTTATGCCCTGCATCACTTCAAAAATCTGCCTGTTATTTTCTCTGGAGCTGTAAGCCCCTTTACAATGGTTACACAACGGCATGATATATCTGATCTTTCCCTCATTTACTTTCTGGGCAACTTGTCCTTAATTCTCATCTTTTTCATGAATTTAAAGAGGATTTTGAGAAGGAATTCCTCTGCTAGATTAGCTAGCATTGAGTTTATTTGAGTTCTGGGAAAACAGAAAGAGAAAACCCATCAATTGTGATTTTTCAGGCTGAACTGCACAAAGCCTGGCAGAGCACCTGCAGAAGAGCCACACCTCTGAGAACAGGTTTAGCCTGCATCCACTGATCCTTGACTAGTGAGTAAAAGCCCAGCCTTCCTGGGCTACTCTGACTTACCTTGGCTGTCCACACCAGACCACTCACCAAAACTGCATAGACCAAGGCTTTGCCACAGAGGATGAGGTAAGTGAGCTTCAGGGAATTTCCATACCGCAAGTACGATTCTGCAAGTCAAACACCATTTGTATTTGTGTATTCCATTTTCATCATCACCATTACAAGATGCTGGCTCTAAAGGAGCTTTCATCAAATGAGAACCCTTGAAATTTTTAGCTAAGCAACATAAAGGAACTAGAGGCAAATGAGTGGCTCTGTTGGCACCAGAGAACCTGGGAAGGGACAGAACACAGTGACTCAAAGAACCAAAAGAGAAAGCAAGTCTAGGAAAGACAGAGATTGGCTTTATGCTGGGATAGTACTGAGTTCCACACCTACTGAGGAACTGGGCTGCTCATCTGAGATCCCAGTTAGGAACGCAAAGGAGTCTGAATCAAAAGATACCAATGTTTTATTTTGTCTCATTATTGTCAGAGGCATTATGAGTGCTGCTGATGTATCAGGAAGATTTAAAAGCCCAGAATAACATGCCTTCTAGAGGTTTTATTCTTGAAGATTTTTCACTCTTAAGGGGTTGCCACAGAATTGAGATACAAGATCTGTCTTGGTTCATCCTTAAGATTCCTGAAGCATTCAGGAAGTTCTTGAAAAACAAGAGTGTGCAAATTTGTACATAAAGTGGAAAGAAATGTAATTTGTAGTATGGATATTCTCCATACATGACAGCAGTGTGGAGCAGAATGTGACTCGTCATGGGAATTGTTCTGAGTTTGATACTGAGAAAGAGTCAGAATATTACATCCTGAATCTTGATGTCAGAATCACTTGGGTAAGTATGGATCATTTCTTTCCTGGCTGAGCAAGAATATTCCTAATGGAAGTCAGTTTCAAGGACTGGAGGCGATGACAAAGAGTAAATTACAGTCTACAGGAAGGCACCATGACTCCTTCAATTTTCAAAATGGAATCATAGGGGAGACCTAAACCCCAAAGCTGAGTTACATACAACATGCATAAACAGCCCTCCAAAAAACTTTTCTTCCTTTTTCTTTTGTTTTTGTTTTTTTTTAATATCACATGCAAATCACTTACAGGAGAAAGTAGAAGCTATTCATACAGCAGATATCTCCCACACGTTGTACATAATGTCAGTAAAACTGGCATTAAAAGACACACTGATAATTGCCTGAGAGAAGAGGCAAAATTCCCTTTACGTGAGAAGCCACACGTACCTTCTGTGAGTGCACAACCTGAAAGACAAAAAGGAGCTGAAAGTCACGTTTCTCTTCAGAGCAAACAGAATACAGATTTTAGAAGTTTCAGTTTATCAAACACTGCCTCATTCTTCCTACTAAAAGTAGGTGTTTTATGGTACTGTGCAATTTACTGTACTACAGAGATTTCTCAGTGGAAAGCCTGAAGAAACTCTAGATGTAGAATGGTAACCCAGGGACAAAGGCCCAGGAATGGGAAGAGACATATGCTAATACCTAGATCTTTAGGTCTGTAATTGTGCCAGAAGAACACCTTGTATGGAAGCGACCTATAGATGTGGCTCATATCATAACACTTGCTCTTTTGATTTGTGATTTCTATCTGATACAGCATGGTAAGAGATGTTTTTTTACTCACCAGCATCACCATGGATAAATTTGTTTATTGAGGCTGTTGTTCCATTCTGAAAAAAATTGGCAACACACTCAAAGCGATTCAGAGGGTTGAACCACTCCCAGGCTGGCATCCTCAGTCGGCTGGTCAGCGAGTAGGTGCTCCCATTCTGTGTGGAGGACTCGTCTGTCCCCACCCCTTCGGTCCTTTTCACACCATTCACCCTCCAGACCAGAGTCAGGTGGTCAGGGTAGAAACCAGAGGCCAGGCACACCAGCGTGGCCTTGCTCTTCTGCTGGATCTCCTGCTTTGATGGGGAAAAGATGGCCACGGCTGGAGGTATGATTTCCTCATTCTTGCCTGAAACACAAAGCAACATGGTCCAGAGCCTCCATCCCTCTGTTCAGTCAGAACCCCCTGGAAATGGTCCGGAGTTTGTGCCATGTTACTCCTGAAATACCTGGCCTTTTAACTGCTGTCTATTGGACAATTCATGTCTACTGGATATGACACACCAGGACAGTGGAAGGATTTCTTTTTGCTCATCACACAGAATTTTCAAGGGTCTGGCCACAGAAATGCACAAGCACATGAAATTCTTGTATGGTCTCTTGCCAGAAGAATACAAATCCGCAAAGAAACTGAGCAAACAGATGGGCAAAAAAGTCCCCACTTTTGCTGTAAGTAAGGCCTGTATTTGTAGTATTGTCTTAAAAGTTAAGAAAGTCTGTTTTAAGGCCCAAACATCTTCAGCAAACTGGGTTGCATTCCTGGAGAGGGAGTTAAGACATGGTGGTCATTGCAGTGTTCAGAATTGTACTGGCATGGGATACCCTACTTGGCCCCCCATCTATGAGATGAGCTGGAAGGAAGGAAGGAAAGAATCAAGGAAGGAGTTGATCCTTCTCACTGTCTGAAGTGAAAAACAATTGAGGCAGGTAACATGTATCTGCCAGGGATGGGTTTTGCCTTGGGTCTTAACCAATCCATTTTTAAGAGCCTTAAACACAATTTTATGTCATTTAATTTTTTGGTTATTGTAGGTATGAGAAGCTCTGATCCTTGGCTACACACCTTCCCAGAATGATGCAAGATTCCATAGACTTGCAAATCAAATGTGTTTCCCTGTCCTAAAGTGTTTAATACCTACTTGTATGATAAATGAGAACAGAGTTCAGTCAGAAGGATGTTCAAGGCAGACATGAGAAGTTACTCAGAAGCCATGCAGTGACCCTAAAAGACAGGAGGGGTTTCCATATACTAAATCAAAATGCCTTTGTGACCCATCTAGCATGAGAAACCCATGAGGTCTGTGAGTGCTGCAGGAAAAAGGAATGTAGGCAAAACAATGGAGCCAAAGAGAAAATTATTACTCTGGGTTGATTTTTTTGTATGAAGGCACGGTGAATTGTGGACGTTCTTCCTGATCACTCTCCCCTTTGCAGAGGGAGAGAGGTAGCAGAATGAGCAGAAATTAATATCTTGCAGAGATCTTGTCCCCTAAGCCCTGGTGTTTGCATTCAAATGATGCCTTAATTGTGACCACCAGAGCTTGCTCTGCAAAGATCCCCAGGCTGCTTCTGTATGAGCTTGTACAGACTTTAGATGACCTGATATTAAATAGAGGTGACACCCTAGAGGGTTTAGCACTGCTCTGCTTTCCATTTCATGGATATGAAGAGAGCTTGATCGCTCCTACTTCTCCCTGCCAACACTTGGTGTTATGATTTTTTTTCCTATCCTAGAAGTATCTCTGACAAATTCTTCGGCTCATAGCCCTAAAGGCTAATGAGTGAAGAGATGGAAACAGATAGGACGGCAAAAGAAAAAGGAGAAATTTAGTAGGCTAAAGAAAGAAAGGAACAACTAAAAAATGGAAGGTAGGTGAAAAAGAGACAGAATGAAAGAGAGGAAAAAACTACTGAAACTACTGGAAAGACAAAGAAAATCAGAAAGTTAGCATGCTTGAAATGGAATAAAGGCATTAGAAAGAGCAAGAACTAGAAAAAAAAAGTCTGATCAGCAGCCCCTTGTGTTCTGGTCTTCCTTTCTGCTCATAGGAGACACTGACCAAACATTTGATAACTTCCATGCATAAAACTCATTCCCTGTCACACAGATTTCACCCACCCCAGACAAAAAGTATCACAGTTCTTCCATTCCTGTCACTGCAAGGTCAATTTCATAAATTCTTCTTATCTTTCACTCCTACTCTCATTTTAAAATCATCTGTGTAAATGCTACATACCATGAACACAAGGGCAATTTTCAAGTGTCCTCCACACTGAGCACTTGGGTTAACAACAGCTCCTTACCTATGACTCTGAGCACAGTGCCAACTCCAAAGTCAAGCTGCTGGTTTGCACAGCTGTACAAAGTCAGGCTGTAACCCCCAGTGTCATTATGCTCTTCCTGCCAGACACATAGCTCCTTAAAATGGTACTGTTTAAAGGAGCAGGCACCAGTGAGGATTTCTACAGTTTGCTATGAGATGGGGAAGTAGCAGATGGAAAAATTACTTTGCCCTTTGATTCCAACATGCCCCAATATAGGTGATGTTAAATCCTTTCTGGGATGGGAGAAAACAGAGAAAGAAAATAGGGAAAAAGAAAAAGAATAGAGGAAAAAAAGTATGCTGAGAGAAAATAATACAGTCCTTGCTGAATTGTAGAAGTTGTGAGAAGGATTGTTTGCAGAACCCAGCATCCCAGAGCAACTATAGACAGCCTGCAAACCATCTCTGGAGAGGCAAGTAAAGTGCCAGCAAGATTACTCCTTGCCTCCATGGTTCAGCCCACAAGAGAATCCAGATTCTACCTCCAAAATGCTGCTTTGGATCATTACACAGATAAACTGAGAAAACCTGAGGACCTGCAGGAACATTTTTCATTCTTAACCTCTATAATATTTCCTTGAAAAATGGGTGAAAATTAAATTATTTATTTCCTTCTCCCTGCATGAAGTTCCCAGAAATGAAAGACAAAGGCTGCAGACACAAGGACCTCAGCATTGGTGCCTGTAAATCATATGTTTCCATAATGGCACATCTCATTTTAATAAGCAACCAATAAAGCATTAATCCTGTTCTCATGGCTGCATGAAAAATTATCATTAGTAAGCTTTTAATTAAGAATGTTCTTGTCCCCTAAAGCAGTATCACATAGATCACAGAGATCGGACTTACCTATGACCGTAAGTTTTGTCCCACTGCCAAAGAACAGTCTATTATTATTCACATCATTTTGCAGCTGCAGAAAAACCTCTCCTCTACTCCCAGACCTCTGAGCCAAGCCTGTGGACTAACCCTCCCCTCATGTGGTACCAGCAAAAGAAGAAATACGGAGTACATTTATCTCAGATCTCCTAGAAAACAGGTCTGTAAGGAAAACCACCAAATCTGTGTCTAAACAGCTGAGGTTAACATCAGAAATACCCTGTCCAGAGCCCTTCTGCTTCAGGCTCAATCAGTTGTTGGAGGTTCCACCATTTCTTTGGATGATATTTCTCTATTTATCGAGGTGTTATATTAAAATATTAGAAAATATTTCCCATATATCAACATTCCCTAAGATTTCTTCCTCTTTGAAATGAACCATATGTTATTTCTGTGGTTTTCAGAGGCTGTTTAACATCTATTCTGAAATAGTAAGATCATTGTCCTCTGTGATCTTTGTATCCCCATCCTGGCAAGCCTGTATAGTGGAAAGAAACTGGCTGCGCTCTGGAGAGAAAGTAGCTCTGGAGAGCTACTTTCTATAACAATAAGGACTTTAAAAGCTTCAGAGAGATTTTAGTATTGCTTATTATATAGTACAGTATATACTTGTGCCTTCTTTTTTATAAATTACAAATGCTAGCACACTTGTTTTCCATGGTTATCTAAGACAACACATTCTTTAATTCACCCTGGGAAGATCCAAGGTAATTGAGGGTTGTATCATCTTGACTTTCCTAGACCCCTTCAAAGTGTAACTGTAAGTCAGTTCTTTCCAGACAGATGGACAGCTTTTCACTCACTTGTCCTTAATCATCTCTAGCCCCAGCAGAACGAGCGTTACAGAGACCAGCTATACCTTTGGTGGAAAATTTTTGTATGTGTTGATTCATTAGGACAACTTTTTTTAATGTCATGCTCACATTATTTCTCTCATTCCTTATGCTCATTCTTTCTAGGGACAGCTTTTTCTTTACTGAAAACACGTTTATTCCATTCTCCAAAATGAAAAGGTGTGTCCCTACCTAGAAGACCCAACTTATTCTATTCTCTGAAGTAGACAGGGTTACTAGCACACCAGTTTAATAATGTTAGGGAGGTTAAAGATGATGTTCTCTAAAGAGAAGACATGGCTTTTGATGTGATTTAAAAGAGAAAACAAAAAATTCTTACCTATTACTGTAAGCTTTGTGCCGCTGCCAAAACGCATATCAGCACTGCTCACAGTGACAAAGTGATGTATCATAAGCTAAGAGAAGGGATGCACTGCACCTGCCTTTCTAAAAGCACAAGCTTTGGAAACTGTTACTGTTCTTGGAATCCCAAACATCACCCATTCTTTATTTGAGCTGGTTCACCTTTGGCAGGGAACTAAAACAAATCCCTTTGTTTCCCCTTCCATGGCTGGCCAGCTGTCTTGGATAGTCTTTCAGGATCCCCTTCAGTTTTCTGATAGGTTAAAATAATCCACACAAGGAGGGCCCAGAAGTATCTGTTGACTGGTCCCACACAAAACCTTCATAGCCATTAGGAAGAACTGCAGTGAGGCAGTAGGGATAGGGATTACAGGCAACCTTTGCTCTCATAGGCATGAGGCAGTCAGCAGATATTGGAGGATTATTTCAGAGAAAAAAGCCCAACACATTTTATGTAGTGCCTCTGAGAGATGCCTGCTATATGTCAGAATTCTTTCCGTAATACTTGTATCACTTTAAGAATGAACCATTTTGTCATCCATTGCAAACATTGGTTAATCTGGAAAAAATAATAATTCCAGCTTTGCATGGTTGATAGGCTTCAGGTGCATCTGCAGTCACAGTTTGGATTGGTGAAAATGAATTTTGATATCTCAGAATTTCCTAGCTGCATGCCACGGAGGGCAGGCTCAGTTCTCAGATGATGAAAGTAAGTCCCAGCACAGAAGGTCTGTTAAGAGAAACCAAGGCAGAGCATGCCTGCTGTGCTGCAGGATTCTGTGCAGCTGCCTTCACACGCTCTGCCACAAGGCTCATGCACCCTTGGGTTTTTGTAAAGGCCTCCTGGGGAATGTATCATCGTGGTCCCCCCCCCACTGTGCCACAATGATATAACCTGGTACAAAAACAATCCCACCCATGACTCCACCCCCTCATTTTGTCAACCAGGAATGACTGCCTTGATTACCTGTGCTGGTTTGGACTGTGGTACTGTTGGACTGTGGTTCAAGTTAATTTCCTTGAACGAGGTTACTGTGGAGTAGAGTTTGGACTTGTTCTGCAAATACTGTTGGCAAGAGGGAAATGTTTTTATTATTGCTGAGCAGTGCTTACATGGCATTCAAGGACTTTTCTGCTTCTCATACCCCCATGCCGGCAAGGAGGCTGGTGGTACATGGGAACCTGGGAGGAGGGACAGCAGGGAGAGCTGATCCCAAATGATCCAAGGAATGTTCCATAACCCACGGTGTCACGTTCAGTATGGGACAGAGGCAAGTAGGGGGAAGAAGAAGGAAGAGAAAGATATTTGGAGAGATGGTGTTTGTCTTCCCAAGCACCGTTATGTGTGAGGGGGCCTGCCTTCCTGGGAATGGCTGAACACCTGCCCGTCCATGGCAAGAGGGGAATGAATTCCTTGTTGTCATTTGCTCATGTGCACAGTTTGGCTTTACCTCTTAAAATGTCTTTATCTCAAGCCACGAGTGTTTCACTTGTGCTTTTCCGATTCTCTCTCCAGTCCTGCTGGTGGGGAGTGAGCAAGCAGCTGTGTGGGGCTTGATCCTGGCTGGGGCTAAAGGACGACACAACCACAGACCACATCCTTCCTTTGCCATTGTTGCTTCTATGTGATAGTCCAATCACCTCTCAGTGTATCCATTATTGCTCAATTTATAATCTCAAGATGTTTTTCTTATACTCAAACAGGTGATACTTTTTATTCTTGTATTGGTTGGCTTTAAATGCAGTAATTTTTCACTTAGTAATGATCATGGCCGTGTTTATGCTGCTTTCCTTTCTACTCTTTCTCTCTTCTGCCCCCAGGATGACAAGCAAACCTCCAGCTCACAGTTTGCAATTTTTGGTTTGCAATGAGAGTCATTTGCTTACTATGGGCTGGTGTTTGTCTCTGTAGCTTGGTGTTGCTTGAGAGCATTCTCCCAGGGCTTGTGCCTCTGCCTATGAAAAGGCTTCATCTAGGAGTAAAAGCAAGCTTTCATTTTGCAGACTGTCTGAAGGGATCGGAACTGATGGGGACAATTAACAGGCTACATTTATCTCCCTCCTTTATATGTAAGTGACACGGTCTTGTCTCACAAAGTTTCAACACATAGTTAGCAACATAACCTAAACATGTTTTTCATATTGCTCTTGAACAGCTTCACTTGAATCTTTCTTGATATGAAAAATAGACTACAAAGCACAGAACAAAATGCTTCAGAAGAAAGTCTTTCTACTAGGAAAACCACAAAATATTTTTCGATTATTTTCAGGTATCCCAGTTCTTCTGCATCCAAACTTAAAGTATTGCTCCTCTACTTTACACTGCATTTTCCTACATCTATGCAGGAAACATTGATACATGAAATGTATGACTGCGTTCTTCATTTAGTCCTGTGTGAACTTCACTGAACTACCAAAGGTTTTACTTGTGGTGTGAGAAAATAATGAGGTGCAAAGTAGATGAAAGATCTCCAGAAAGTCTCTCCACACTTACTAATCCCTTGGATTTTTAATCTATGAAGTACAGAAAAGGTCACAACAAACACAGTTTTACAGAAACACATTCTGGTTCCCTTTGCTTCTCGTCCACTACAGGTTGGATTCTTTTGACTATCTCTCAATTGTACTCATTTGCCCTGATTCTGAGTTTAATGTTTATTTATTTTCATCCGTGGTTTGATTTTCTTAGTATTTATTTTCTTACTCTTCCTAATTTTCTTTTACTCCTTTCTTTAAACAGTCTACACAAGTTTATCATGCTAAATCTATTGCCCAGTGCACCTGGCATTCTCTCCTACTTTTTGCCTAAAATTCTCACTTTCATTATCACTAGCTGGTTCTCTTGAAAATTGTAAGAGACACAGTGTAATTGTAGAGAAGTGGACTTACATAAATATCACCCTGAAGACATCACTTTCTCCAAAGTGGTCTCCTGTGTGGCTAGAAGGAGTGATAACAAATGGGTGCAGAGCAGAATTCTGCTTCTCTCCTTGGACCTAAGCATCAACCCCATCACAAATATCCTCTGTAGAAAACACTCTTGAAAAAGAGCTTGATGGACAAAAGCTTTCCTTGAAACATACTTCAATTCAGTAGAAAGAAAAGAAAAAGGTGATATTATATGAGCCCAGATATGTACGTGTCTCTCTTTTAAAGTGCTCTCTCTGCACAATCACCTGTATAATAGCAGAAGTGTGTGGGAATGAGAATTTCATGGCTTGTAGCAAGCTTGGAAAAGAACAGGATTGGATTGCTGACCTTGGTCTCCATTTCCAGCGACTGACAGATATGAATTCAGTGTGGGAACATTCTTCTTATTCCAGAGTCTAAAGGGAAGTCTCTGTCATTTGGCAAATTCTTTTCTTACACAGAATCTCTTAGTTATGTCCCTCCTTTACACCATAGCTCATGTGCTCCAAAAATTCCTATGCCCAAGTTTGTCCTGTGTTCACTTTGAGCAAGTTCTGCCATGACCATTCTGAAAGTCTGTGTGTGTGAGGACAAGATTGATCTGGGGATTCTTCTGACAGCCCTGATAAATGCAGTCATTTTCACCAAATGTCCTAATAAATTATATTCATCTTAATGTGTTTCAGGCTGAGCTGGAATTATTTTTTGATACTCCATTCTGCTGTGCTCCAATCTAATCTAACTTCATAGGGCATGAATAATGGGGTATCTTGGGAAAAGAACCCATCATCAGAATCAAAAGATGTCTCTGTTTGCTTATCTTTGTTGTATCCCCTGAAATGTGCCCCTTTTTACAACCTTCTTGCGATTCCAACTTGCTGAGAACTGTTCCTTTTCTTTCTTCTCCAAAGGGGACACCTTTCCCTAGACCAGGTAGTTCACATCTTGTGAATGTAAGACCCCTTGAAGCACTTTTGTGAAAAGTTTTTTTCAGGAAACAGTTCTCTGTTTTGTTTGAAGCAGCCATGAGACTACTTAAGTTATTTCTGTTCTCCATATAAACAGAACACCAAATAAATCTCTTGGTTCAGTAGGATATTTTCTCCTCTTCTGAAGTGTTTTGAGGAGATTAAAGGAGTGTCAAACACAGAGCAGGCAAAACAACTGCAATTTACAGCATTATACCCATCTGCCCTCTGGCAGTAAGATGCAGCTTTTTTCTTTAATGATATGAAAAGAGTTATGACAGATTCCTCTCAAGTCTGTCAGCAGATCCCTTTGAAACAAACACATTAAGTGTCAGGTGAATTTTCATCTCTTCACCAAATTTTTCTTCACTGCCACAGTGAGTCTGGTGTCTTCACCAAGCTAATCTCACAAAAGAACCAAGAGAGAGAAAAAGCAGCTCCCATACCTCTCCCAAGAGAATCTCACTTCTCATCTGGCTGGAGTGCTGTTTCCTTCTCTAGCACCTTTGAATTATGCAGCTCTTCTGGCTCCAAAGCAGCCCCTGGGGAGGGCAAGCCTCCAAAGCCCACAGCCCTGCTCCACTTGTTGGTACACAGTGTGAGTAGTGGATGAGTCTCTGCTGTTCCCCTAACAGATAAGTTATTTCTACAGGGATTGCCAGTGAATGATCTTTAATGAGAGTTGCTTATGGCACTATTCATCATTGAAAGTTGTGTGGCAGGACACTATTACTACAGAAGACCAAATTTAAAAGCAACAACTCAGGCTTTTCAAGGGAAAAGAAGCAAAATCTTTATTCCTAAATCAAAGAGATGTGTTCCCAGCCTCTGAGCATCAAGAAGGTGCTACTTTTAAAGATATGTTACAAGAAAATATGATACATTATGATATGGACGCACAGGGAAATCTCAGCAGTGATTACAAAATAGTGAAGAACAGGATGGTAACAGACAATTACAAAAAAATTATATTCAGAAGTTCGTAGAAGATTAGATATTTTGCTATGGAAAGGTAGCAAACTTGTCATGTTCCTGCTGATGTGATGACAAGGGCTCTTCATTTATTCTCTAGATAACTTGACACCAGTCTAATTGAAAACAAAATGGGATAAAATTAGAAGAACTGTAAAACAGCA